TTAAAACACTTACATTTCAATAAAAATAAGACAGTTATTAAATGCTTGTTAATAATGTATATTCCACCATTTGTATTTTTAAAGAACTATCTACACAGGAATTACGTCAGCTGCTCGACGATGTGTCCGAATGGTGGGAGCAATTTGGAAACATTAATATGTTAAAAGTGATCCTCAACGATTTGGAAAGCATTACTTTAGCACAGATAGAGCAAAAACTAGAGCCAAACCCTCTGTTTCAATTACTTTTGGCCAATGGATATATTAGCCACACAAATGTTAATTATCTTCTCGAGGCTGTTGTTTTGGGTGGCCAGAATGGTATCGAACCGAAGATAAAGGAAACGATACCGAAATTCCCGGGATTTAGTAGCGTTGCAATCAGTGGATTCTCAAAATATCGACGAAATTTGATAGAATTTGGTAAAGTTGTAGGCACAAAAAACAAAGATCGCATTGGTAATTTGTTTGGTCTAATCGTTCCCAAACTGACAGACCAGTGGTGCCTAATATTTGAACTGGAGAGGAAGCGTATCCTAACTGAAAAAGAAAAGGACCAATTCATTGAAACGCTTAATAAGAATGGTATGACAGCCGAAGCCGAAGCACTTAATAAGTTCAAAAATTAATCTTAACGTTTATAATTCAAGCTGCATTATCAACATGTGTAGACCTAATTTATGTGATCGGATTTCCTATTACATCTGGACCGTATAGTAGACTTTTTGGACAAATTTTAAACCAGGTTGTATATTTTTTTTAATAAAAAATATAATTAAGTTAATTATATTATAAATTTACTGTTACAAAAAGCGTTTTTCCACAATGAACCATTTAGATAAAAATGATAATATAACCTTTATATTTGTCTTTTGATTTAGTTAATATGTTGAATACAACCGGATTAATATCATTTTCAAATTATACATTCTAAATATAAGCAACTAAAACTTTTTGTATTGGTTTTCCTATAGTTTCGTGAAAAAAGGAAGCAGCTTTATCGTGCCTCAAAAAACACGTTTAACGTGTTTGGTTCTGTCTAAATATGTTTGCTCTACATTTTTAATTTTTTTTTTGATTCATAGTATATGCTGTTCGAATAATATTAGATTGATAGAAAGTTGATGTGTTTACCGTATTAGTTGATATTGTAGAGTTTTGATCATAATTAGTCATAATACTTTTTGAAATTTTGTTACAGTAGTTAAAGTCCTATGTTAATTAGTGGATTTTGCAGGTTAGTATTTCTTTAATAATATTACATTTTCATCATATTGTATATTCTGAAAATTGTATTGATAAGATCTTAGAGTATTCGTTCCATTGCATTTAATTAATTATATGATTTAATCTCAAACTACATTCGTTCATAGTTTAAAATTGATAGTGTTGTATTTGTGTGTACTGATAAAATAAAATATTGTAAGCAAAATCTGTGTTATTGCTGTATAATTTCGCTGTAACCGTGTCAAAACCACATCAAACCCATGAAAAAGGATACATCCTGAATTGGCAGGCATCATCTCACCAGACGTTGACAACATCACTTTCTTAATCAATGCACTTACTAAGCTCATACAGGCCATGGACGTGTTTCTGGAAAGTTAGTCCGAGAAAGATGCATGACGTTCGAAGTAGCTGTTGACTATTTAGCCCCATGTCCCAAGGATTACCACCCACAGACTCAGAAAATACAAGTATAACATCCATGTGATATGGTACTTGAAAGTTTTATACATTGTTTTCTATATGATAAATATAATTCATGTGGGCTACTCTTGATTCATGACTGAGAGTTCATGTATATTTTTGATCGACCAAGCGTATTGGTATAATTTAATTGATTTTTCATTAAGTATGGTAGAGAGGTGCCATGTGACAGGAATTATGGTCTTGGAATACGACTCTTTTGTCATTGAATGATGTATCATTACCATTTAACATATCTACATTAACATTGTCGTTGTCTTCTTGATAAATCCTGCACATAAATGTCCCCGTTTTATATGGATACAGTTGCTTTTTAGCTATTTGATTGATAATATATTTGTCAAATATCCACACATCTCAGTATGGTTTAACAGTGTCTACCAGGATCCTTTAAGTCAATGGCCAACTGTGGTAGTTATTAAAGCTTGGATGAATGCTGCGGATGAATTCTACATTTAAACTGCAGTTTTGGACCAAGGTTGGGCAGGAGAATTCACACAGATCATCATGGAAATCTTTAGAGTTGCAATACAACATTGTTAGATTCTTACAGTAGTGGAAGGTGATAGATTTACTACTAGAACTGGAGGAAGAATCTGATGATGGAAAGGGCTATGATGTTTATGAGTTAAAAGACATGGCATGAAATTGAAAAATTAAAAAGAAGACATAACTAGGACATAGGTATCGAAGTGGAATTTCCAACAATATATGGACAAAATAAGATAAATTTGGGAAGATATGTATGTGTATTTTAAAATAATACAGTATGATATCAGAACGTATAAAATCAAGAAAGAAAAATATTGTACATTGCTTCATATAAAGTCAATATAGATGGTTTAATGCAAAATGAAGATGTTAATGTTAAGAAATGGAATGTCATCAAAACTGACAGTGGATGTAATAAACTTAGATAAATTATAATGAAACTTAAATGGGTATCGAGATCGATCTGCGTCATACGACGGTGGTACGACGCCGGTGGCCAACGAATTTACCTTCGCTCCCAGTGAGTACAGGATGATCCGATGCATGTAATATTCTTATCCTTTACTATAAAGGGTTATTAGGCAGAGTTACACTTTCACTCCAATGTGTTGTCGCAAAAATGGCAACCATTTTGTCTTATAATGCTTAGCTGAATTATATCGAGCAAGGTATATCAAAATAGTTCAATACACTTGGCCCACCAAGTCTTCTATGATCTGTAATATCTAATCGTTAAGCCATGGACCTATTTTAAGCAAACGTTTCTTCAGTCATGGGGGTAATAGCTAAATAGACCCTGTTTTAACAATTATTTCCTGTATTGTTCATGAATTGTTAGTATTCTCAATTGTTTGACGGAAGCAACGTCACGTACGGTAGCGTACATTTACATATCAAATACCAATTTGTATTCAAAATTTAACAGCTACATCGCGTCCTAAAGCTCTAGGTAAATCATTCTAGATCCAAGCCATCGGCATGACTAAGCCTATGTTTAGTATTTGTACAATCAGATATTAAACGTGAAGCATTATAAAATAATGTTTTCAGCTATGTATTATGTAGTACTACACAATGGAGCCGTGCCAAGTTCACCGGTATTAATGTACTACAGTGGATTATCACCGGTGAACTTATTTCGTCTCCATAGTGTACAGCCGCGTTATTATAATTTTCTAGTAACAGGCCTACTACTAAAGCAGAGGATGGATCACCTATTATGCTTAGTTGTTATGTTCTATTGGTACATTAACTGTATACAATTTAGGCACACACTGTTTTTTTTTTCATTTTATGCTTATAAATTTTACTAGTGTGTTCCACTGCGGTGAATTTCAAATCAAAGATGGCGTCCATTACCGCCAATAGGATTAAAACATATCATCATACATGACACTGGATTAAGGCTGTCTCTTATACACATCTAGATGTGTATAAGAGACAGGATAAATCCTGCACATAAATGTCCCCGTTTTATATGGATACAGTTGCTTTTTAGCTATTTGATTGATAATATATTTGTCAAATATCCACACATCTCAGTATGGTTTAACAGTGTCTACCAGGATCCTTTAAGTCAATGGCCAACTGTGGTAGTTATTAAAGCTTGGATGAATGCTGCGGATGAATTCTACATTTAAACTGCAGTTTTGGACCAAGGTTGGGCAGGAGAATTCACACAGATCATCATGGAAATCTTTAGAGTTGCAATACAACATTGTTAGATCTACACAATGAAGCCGTGCCAAGTTCACCGGTGTTAATGTACTACAGTGGATTATCACCGGTGAACTTATTTCGTCTCCATAGTGTACAGCCGCGTTATTACATTTGCTAGTAACAGGCCTACTACTAAAGCAGAGGAGGGATCACATATCATGCTTAGTTTTTATGTTCTATTGGTACAGTAACTGTATACAATTTAGGCACACTATGTTTTTTTTTTCATTTCATGATTATACATTTTAGTAGTGTGTTTCATTGCGGTGAATCTCCAAAGTGGATTATTATCTTCAAAGTTACATTTTCAGGCTATGCTTTATATAGTTAAACTCGGCAGCTTGTATTCAGCCAATAAGTTATATAAAAAAATATCCCATTATGAATTTTAGTCACATTTTCTCATAAAATGCCTTGGAGTAAAGTACACAGTATAATGGGGAGAAGTTAAATATCTTGGTGGTTAAGATGCTTCCCTTTCAATACCAGGGTCCTGAATTCTATTTCTATCACGGGAACAGGTGCTTTTTTATATTTTTATCACAACCAAAATAACTACACTCTATAAGCCTATAAATACATATATATATATGTATTTAACTCAAACAGCTACAACTATTCCTCCATCTATATTCGTCGCATGGTAACAACTACTGGAATGACACAAGGTCATCCATACAAACTATAGAGGGCCATCTATAACAAACCCTGATCTAAACATCCTCCCCCCCCCCCCTATGAAGTCATTGGCAAAAATACTTCATTAATTAATGTTTAAATACCATTAGCTAAAGCAGATTAGCGGTTCAAAAAGTTAAATATCAACTCAGGTTTAATATGGTTAAATAACAACTATCAAAACAATTTAAATCCTTAAAGGATAAAGGTACTGATTACTGGGTTATTAATCTCCATATCCTTCAATTGGAAGTATCACAGCTACTTTTGTGATGGGCCGCCTATATTCGCCACTAGCAGTCTTTATCTTCACATTCCTAAATCTGATCCTGGGAAAACGTCAGTAATTCTTCCAATCGTCAACTTTCCTCTTACTGCATTGCTATCCTCAATAACAACAATATCTCCAATCTGTACATTCCTTCTCTCTTATGCCCATTTTCTCCTTGGCACAAGTGATGGCAATACATCTCTGCTCCACTTTTTCCAAAAGGCACTGACAATGCTTTGTATAAATTTCAAACGATGCCTTGGATTCTTTGATTCACTAAATGAGGTCCTTGTGGAACATCATGTGATGCTCGTCCCAGTAACAAATCGTTAGGGCACAAATAGGTTCCGTCATCAGGGTCATTTGATATTTTCCCTATTGGACGTTGGTTGACCAAATTAGAAACTTCCAAAAAAACTGTATATAGTTCAAATGAACTCAACACTTGAGAGCCAATCGCCCTTTTAATGGCGACTTTGCAGGTTTTAACTAATGCTTCAGCGCACCCGTTTTGATGTGGGGCAGCTGTAGTTATGAATTTCCATTCCAATCCTTTCTCTGCTCAAAAGTCTTTAAGTTGATTTTTGTCCCAACCCTTTACCATATCACGAAGCTCCTATTCCGTTGTCGGAAATTATCCTCTTTGGACACCCTCTAATTGCAAAGAATCGGCGCAAAACTATCACAAACTCCATCGTGCTACAGTCTACTGCCAAGTGAACAGCCCTGGTGTTCATGCATTTACAAATAACACCGTAGCACTTTGTAGTTTTGTTACGGGCTAACTTTACGATATAAGGACCGAAATAGTCACACACCATCGTAAAAAAAGGTGGCGTTAATAGACCTGTTTTCTCTGAGGGAAGGTTAGCCATTATCTGAGTTTCTGTTTTGTGTCTGAAAGTTCGGCACTTGACACATCTAAACTTCACAGACTTTGCCAATCTTGTAACGCCTATGATCCAGTATCTCCTACGGACCACATGTTGCTGCTCCATAATGCCCTTCTTTATGTGCCTTTCTTGTTATCAATAACGAAATGTGGTGATCTCTGGGCAGCAGTACAGGATGTCTTTGATGATATGAGATGGAAATATTACCAATTCTTCCCCCAACAAAGATTATTTTGTCCTTTACAAATGTGCTGAGGGACACTCCCCTTTCTGGATGCGATCATGAAGTGATTTTTGTGCTTCGAATATCTAATAATCTTCTGCAACTGATAACTCTGTTGGAGATAACGGTCCATCTTCCACTATGCACTTGGCTTTCACATTTGCTATAAAGCGGAATACATATCCCGTGACACTGATCAGGTTTCTCAATTTCAAGAACTTTGTACAATCTATCGCCTGTTGTTTCTCAGTTACAACACCAATTTCTTTAAACTTACGTCTTTCCTTTTCTATCTCTCCAACATCTACTACGTGTTCATCTGTTGGCCAATCTTCTTCCTTTAGGCTTAGAAATGACGGTCCTTTTAACCATCTCCCCTGAAGATCTGCTACCCGTGTGCCTCTTGATACATCATCAGCTACATTATGCTTGCCAGGTATGTGCATCCATTGAGACTGGTTTGATCTACTTTGGATTTCAATTACCCTCGCTGATACAAAGGGTTTGAATGATCTTGCATTACTTCTTAGCAGCTTAGCTCAGTTAAGCAGCTTAGCTCAGTCGGCTAATCTGGTGGTAGCCACTGTGTGTGCGCTGAACCGTGGAGATCTCTAGGTCCCCGGTTCAATTCCCATCGCTGCCTCTCCTTGTGTTTCAGCTAGAGGGCTGAAATACAAGTTACAATAGCGCACCATCTTTCGGATGAGACGTTAAAGCCGTTGGTCCCGTGTGCATTTATGGCCCATGTGCACGTTAAAGAACACAGTACACTCTTCGAAAAAGAGTAGGGGATTGTCTCCCAATGTACTGTCCAATCACCACCAGAAGGACGGAAATAAGTCTTCTTCTAGACTTTCGTGGGCTATCCTTGGTGTTTACACCGAATAAATCCAATCCAATCCAATCTTATCCAACCAAGTGTGATTGTACTATCCGACATGAATATTGTTCGGTTTATTTCAAGTCTTGTTTCATTCTGAATAGTTTCTGATAACCTGGCTGCCAACACTGCTGCTTGTAGCTCTAATCCGGGTATTGATAAACGCTTAAGTGGAGCCACCCTGGACTTTGCTGCTAAAAACCTTACTTCGTATGACTCTTCAATAATTTTCCATCTAGCATACGCACATGCCCCGAATGCATGTTCTGATGCATCTGAAAACATGCAAAGTGTCGGCAGACCCGTAGCGTTAGGTGGTGTTAGACATCGATTTACCTTTACATCATTTAAAGTTTCAATTCAACTCAATTCAATTTATTATATCATTTGCAACGCATACATTACATCACATAGAAAATATTGTTGGTCTTTTTTTTTCCATATCTTTGAACAGTTCGAGCCATTTTTTATGCTCAGACCAAGTTTTCCGCTGTTTTTCTCAGAGCGATCTGCGTCATCGCTGGGGCTGGCTTGTCACCAAATGTGACAACTGTTGATACATAAACAGCGGGCTGCAAATCTGTCTTCATGTTTCGCCACAAAAAACGATGCACATGCTGATCTTCATATGGTATAAGTATTCGGTTATATACATTTTTGATATGTCACTGCATATCGCAACGTTATTTTCCCGGAACCGCAAGAGCACTCTGAACAGGTTGTTGAGTAAGTCTGGTCCTTTGTACCAATAGTCGTTGAGACAGTGTCCGTTAAATGTTGCTGTCGAGTTTAAGACTATTCTGACTGGTGTACTCTTCTTCTGCGGACGCACCACTGGGTGATGGGCTATGTAATATACTGGGCCTCTGTGATTTTCTAGTTCCTCTCTGCTAATTTTTCTTGCGAAATTTATGTCGACCATGGCCTTTATCTGGTCATCATATGCTTTTGCGAGCTCAACGTCTTTTTGAAGTCTTCGTTCAATGGCTTCTGATTTTCTTTCAGCCTGCTGTCTGTTGGTAGGCAACAAATTTGGGTCCTTTTTCCAGGGATATGGTATCATCCACTGATCTCCAACTTTCATGCATGAGTCTTCAATTATTTTTGATTCTTCTGCTTCCACTGGGCCAATTTTGTCGGCTTTACACCTGCATGGCTTAACAGCAACTCCCATAGATTCTGTCGTCTAGAAATCAGCCATGTCAGGTGTTGATAATTTCACATGTAATACTTGGTTTAATTGTGTTTTGTCTCCTGTCACTGCACCGTAAATTACCCAACCTAATGGTGAATGACGAGCTACTAGATTTCCAACATTTCTTGTTTCGCTACATGCATCTTTGAGTAGTCGATTCCAATTAGTATATCTACCTGACCATGTCCACGATGAACATCTTCAACATTGATCTTAAAACAGCTTGCTAACTCTGCCACCTGCACTTCAATGACATCCTCACTTATTGAAGGTATACCAACTGCTCTCACGGTAAACTCCTGTCTCTTATTCATTTGATTTTTTTGGCGTTATATATCTTGGTAAAGAGTTGTTCTTCTTCTCCTCCTCCCTCTTCTTCTCCCTCCTACCTTGCGAATCGACACACACAGAACACGTATCGCGTATGACACAAAATGGCTTCTAAATTCTCAATGCCGTAACTCTTTCTATCTTTGGCTTGGTAACACATTTTCAAAATGTGGCGAAAGGTCAAAAGGTCAGGGTCAAAGTCATAGCTATAGGGTCGTCATATCGCAGCAACCACTGGTGGTAGAGAGTTAATTTTGGTGCCTCTTTGGTCAGAACATTTATGTTTCTATTTGCTCTAATGGAACATTTTGCTAAAAATGACCGAAAATGCTCTTTCTAACCTCTGACACGTTTAAATGTCATAGCAATAGGGTCATTATATCTCCGTAACCACTGGTGGTAAAGAGTTATTTGTGGTGTCAATATGTCCGGAACATTAATGTTTCTATTTAATCTAATAGAAAATTTTGCTAGAAAATTACCGGAAATGCTGTTTTTGACCTTTGATATATTTCAAATGTCATAGTTATTGAGTCCTTATTATCTCCACAACGAATTCGATTCAACTCAGCCACAAGTCAACTCGGCCACAGTCAACTCGGCCACAAGTCAACTCGACCCAAGTCAAACTCGGCCACAAGTCAACTCGGCCACAAAAAGTTCGGCTACAGTCAACTCGGCCACAAGTCAACTCGGCCTATTTACTGGTACTACACTTTGAAGGAGTAATTCATGAAGTATAAAATACTAATTAAGTATTACTATTTAAACTTATTATTATTATTGCTGTTATTATTGTTCTCATTGTTGTTATTATTATTGTTGTTTTTATTACCGTTAGTTTTAATATTAATTATTAGTCTTAGCATTAACATTATTTATTGTTTAAATTTTTGCTAATATTATTATTGTTACCATATAAATAATAAATAATTCTCGATTGTTTTTATTCATATTATTATTATTATTATTATTATTATTATTATTATTATATATTAGTCTTATTATTATTATTTTAATAATAGTAATTTAAAAATTATTGTTATTGGTGTTTTATTGGTATTTTTCTCATATTATGAATATTATTACCATATTATTATTATTATTATTATTATTATTATTATTATTATTAATATTATTGTTGTTGTTGTCACCTTTATTATCGATATTAGTACCCTATTATTACTAAGTAGGCCTATTATTATTATAAGTATCATCATTAATATTACTAATTAGTATTACTATTATAAAAAAACATTATCTTTAATTTATTATTGTTGTTATTATTGCTATTATCACCATCAATATCGTTATTATCACTAATTAGTATTATTAAAAATAGATATTTAAATATCGTTGTTATTACCAATTAGTATTATTGCTATTAGTATTATTAAAATAAATAGTACTATTAATATTATTGTTATCACCTTTATTATCGTTATTATGACTAATTAGTATTATTAAAGTAAATATTATTATTAATTTATTGTCGTTATTGTTGTTTAATATTATTGAAGTAGAATGTTGTCAGTAAACAGAAGACGAACACACGACGTCAGTAATAAGATTTTCTTGTAATAATCATTATAATTAGGCCTACTTCCGTAATTTATTAGCTACCTAAAAGGAGATATTATGGGCAATGCCTAAGCTCCACTAACCATGTTGGAATATTAATTTCTATGATACGTGGATGACAATAAGTAAAATGAAAAAAAAAATAATATGTACATGTATTATAAAATAAAATGTATAATTGAAATTAAATATGAGAAGATGTGAAGGGGTGGGTGGCAAAAGTCCGGGAGAAATCGTTCTGTCGAAAATGACACTGGGCAAAATGTCCGTGGGCAACCAGCCTACTCCCGATGATGACATAATTAATGTAAAATTGAATCCCAACACGATGTCGTGTAGCCTATCTTAATACTTGGAGTATATGTACAGTATACTTTTCTGAGATTTAATCAGCGGACCTTTCGGTTTCTATAAATATTCAGTGTCAATTTTTATTTCTATATTATTATATAAAAAAATAAATAATAAAAATAAAATGTATAATTGAAAATCAAATATGAGAGGATGTCAAGGGGTGGGGGGCAAAATTCAGGAGAAATCGTTCTGTCGAAAATGACACTGGGACAAAATGTCCGTGGGAAATCAGCCTGCTACCGATGATGACATAGGCCTAATTAATGTCGAATTGTAGCCTATTTTAATACTTGGAGTATGTATACTTTTCTGAGATTAATCAGCGGACCTTTCGGTTTTTATAAATATTTAGTGGCAATTTTTATTTCTATAGGCCTACTGCTGTATTTATTTTTACGAATATGAATATTCTTATTACTACAATTTTCGTCATGGGTTTTCCATTGAATTTCATCGACCTTTTTCATCTAGGCCTATTTTGTTTTTCAAATGTTATTGTTTCGGTGTTAGTACAGTGTCATTTTGGATATCTAAATTATTTTGCAAATATCATTACTGATTATCAATTTTGAAATTAAAAACAAAAATCCATTACGTCATTGCTATTCACTGGATTATTCCCGGGCCCGTAGCCATTGGGGTTCGAGGGGTTCAAACGAACCCCTTTTTTAAAGAAATGCCCTTTTGAAAGTGTATGTAAAATTTTTAGAGTGACATTTCTAGGCATCTAAGGATCGAAGTCATGAAAATGAGTACTTTGTAATAAAAATTCTGTCATTTGTGAAAGTCCTAAAGGCAGCTGGTCTATAAGAAAAATTGTAAATTTACCATTTTACAGAAGTTTACCCTTCAACCCATTTTAGATTAAAAAAATTACTAAATTCATACTTTTCTTAGAAAAATTTAACCCCCCCCCCATTTTGTTTACAAATGCTGGCTACATCCTTGATTCCCTAATTTGTTGAAGTCATCTTTCACCGGTGATTCACGTCATTGGATGCATCCTTGTCACTGAAGGGTTTCAAACATAGCCCCCTCCCCCCTCATTGGTCGAACAAATATGAAGGACTGAAGCGAAATGTCTGTCACTCAACAATTCCATTGTTCCTATTGTGGATAATTGATACTAGATGCTATGCGCGCCACCTAATTTTAACGTAGGCCTAATTCTTGGACGTAAGAAAATATTATCGAAATGCACGCCATCGTGCATTCATTTGATTTTAGTCGGATTCAAGGTGGGGCTAAATTTTTAACATTTAAAAAGTTATAATGTGGTTTTTCGATTTCAATTTTTTATGATTATTTCTACAGTATGTACTCATGTTTTATGTCAGTGTTTTAACATGAAAAAATTAAACATTAATATATATGTTTTTCTTAATTATTAAGATTGCTAAAATTGTTAATGTTACATTATTGTAAGATTTTATTCCATTCTGTAAGTGGCGGGTTTTCTCTGTTGAATAAGAGTACAGTGTGAAGAAATGAATACAACTATCTCACGACGATGATCAGAATTTTACTAAAATTTACTGTGTAATTTCAATCATATTGAAGAAAAAGGATGCAAAAATTGAGTAATATTTACATTTCATTTTAATTATTTTATTTGTTATATAAATAACTTGTGGCCGAGTTGATTTGTGGCCGAGTTGACTTGTGGCCGAGTTAACTTGTGGCCGAGTTGACTTGTGGCCGAGTTGAATTGTGGCCGAGTTGACTGTGGCTGAGTTGACTTGTGGCCGAGTTTACCTGCTTCCTGCACAACTACTGGTGGTAGAAAGTTAATTTTGGTGCCAATTTGTTCGGAATACTCATATTTCTATTTGCTCAAATAGACCATTTTACTTAAAATAAGACCAGAAAAACCTTTTCTGACCTTTGACATGTTTCAAGGTCATAGTCACAGACTCCTCATATCTCCACAACCGCTGGTGGTAGAGAGTTTATTTTGGTACCTATTTATTCTGAACATTCGTGTTTCTATTTTGTGTATTTGCAAGGCAAATAGGAAAACCCATAAAACAGCAAACGGCCACAATTTACAAAACAATTTAAATTAAAACAGAACAGTAGATAAAATACGATCAGAATGACAAAATAAACTAAGCATCCACTGGAAGGAATGCCAATATCTGCAGACGGATCCGTCTGCAGATACACAACAAGTAACTCATTACTGTCAAAGGTTATAAACAGCATTTCCGGTCATTTTGTAGCAAAATGTTTCATTAGAGCAAATAGAAACATTAATATTTAAAATAGATAGAGTTGAAATTAACTCTCTACCACCAGTGGTTGCGGAGATATGACGACCCCATATCTATGACTTTGAACCTGACCTCTTGACCTTTCGCCACATTTTGAAAATGTGTTACTAAGCCAAAAATCATTATTAGACCACCCTAAACCAATTTTTGAAGTCAAATTCTCTGGACCTCAAAGTGCATATAAAACCTGGTCTGGCTACTAGGGTATTAGAGTATCCTATTCTTACCATATTATTAATTAAGACGATTGAAGCAACTCAAACGAAACGCCGAGACTTTTTCAACTACAACAGCTCTTTTTAGAACTACCGACGTGGTCTACCGCAAGCATCAGCATACATATCATTACTTCGCCATGCAAACCTTCAAACAATATTATTATTGCCATCAGTGCAACAAATGTAACTTCCAATGTAAATGAATGTGGTTCTGTAGTAGCCAGTTGTTAATGTGGTTGTGTAGTAGCCAGTTGTTGATGATATTATTCAATTTCATTTTTTTTTTTAGAAATATCGGAAAATGACTTTATGTTTTTAAAAACGGATGTCTCAAGTTGGTATGACAGCCACAACTCAAGTATTAGTATGTTCAAAGTGTTGTTTAGAAATAAGATAAACAATGATGAACTATCAGAAATTAAAGATACAATGGAGTTGTTGAATAAATTGGAGTGCTCTGATAATTTGAACACAGCAGATCTTACTCTTTTGTATAACACCATCAAGATAACACAACATTTTGGGTTAATACGACGGATCTCAAAACATATACCGGCAAACTCATTGCCGGATGTTAAGAAAATGCCAATTTCAGAATTCAGTGAGAAAAGGCAAAAACTAATGAAATTTGGGAATGTACTAACTAAAAAGGGTGTGAGGTTGATTAATGGATTGTATAATACTCCTCTCCAGAATTACGAAAACAGCTGGAGTATGATTATTGATCTAGAAGAAAGAGACATTATTAGTGAAGGCGAAACTATGAAGACATTTATTGAGAATTTGGAAAAGCTTGATCTTCCTCTGGCTGTGAAAGCATTAAATGAAGGTATTAACTGTTTTACATCGTTGCCATGTCTCCGCTTATTTCAGAAAAGCTATTTTTTGTGCAATTATTATATTCTCGGTATTTATGTTAAAAATTGAAAGAAAATTTAAATATGGTATTAGAAGAGTTGTTATATTGATACAGCTCATACTTCATCCTTGTTTACTGTGATAATTTTGTACTTTAGTATAAGCATTACTTGGTCACAGCAGCATAATTTAAAAAAATCAAATTATGCTGCTCCTTATAGTAATCCTGCATAAGTATGCTTATGATTGGTGCCTATTTTTATCTTGTTTTTTTTCAATATTTTAAAAGTTTAATATTGTATACGTTCTTTCTGTTTACAGAGGCTGTACATCACCCGAGACCAACTAAACCGAAGTATGAAGGTATACTCGACAAAAATTGAAAGAAAAGTTAAATGTTTTATTAGAAGTTTTGTTTATATTGACATGACTCATACTTCATCCTGGTTTACTGTGATAATTTTGTACTTTAGAGCATTATGTCAGTCAAAACATCATAATTAAAGGAAATCAAATTAAAATGCTGACTCTTAAAATAATCCTGCATAGGTGTGCTTATGATTGGTGTCTATTTATGTCTTGTTTTCAATATTTTAAATTGTTAATACTTTAAGTTGAATATTGTATTCGTTCGTTCTGTTTACAGAGGCTGTAAAGCACCCAAAACCAACTAAACCCAGGTCTCAAGGTATACTCGACAATACTAAAAGCAATACTATAATATAGGGTTAAATTGTAGGCCTATATAACTTTCGTTAATGCAGCCCCTTTAAAATAATATATGATGAACGGCTTATTTTATCTCTTCATTATTTAGGCGCATAGGCTACAGAAAATAGTCAAAATGATTGGGCGTAGAAATATTACATTTAAGATAAAATTATTATGTCATTATCGATAATGTATATTATTATCATTAGGCATAATATTATCAAAATTATTAGGAATTTAAAGAAAATAGAATATTTGAATAATTTTTTATTCTACTACATTTATTTTCTAATTATTACATGGTTTACAGTTTTTTTTTTGTTTATGATAAATGTTGTTTCACAGCTACAACTTCAAGGCCCAACAGCAAGCGACCAAACAAAACTGAGTCTCGAGACGAGCCTAAACCCAAAATTACACGTGTTCAATCCGAACCAAGTCCTGGTGAGATAATAGACAATTATATTTAACGCATTACGTTTTTAAAACGATTGCAAAATAAAATTAATTTAGAAAATTTTCATAATTTCGTTTACTGTCAGTTGAATTGTTGTGATCATAAATGCAACCTTCTATTGCCAGTCTTACTTGACCAGTGCCACTGTATTTGAAAGTACTTTATATTAATATTCAGTTTAAATTCGCACCGATAATGTTTACTAATATGCTTATAGCCGTTATATGCACCTCCAGAGAAATGTAGGTTATGTTGAAAAATATTTAATCCTTAAATCAAATGAGTAAACACGAATAATATATTCAAATTAGGTTTGCTACGTAGCATGTAATACTTTTTTAAGCGCTGCGCTGCTATTGTATATATATATATATATATATATATATATATATATATGTGTGTGTGTATATATATATATATGTATATATATGTATTGTATATATATGTATATATATAAATATATATATATATATATATATATGTGTACATATATAGGTCTATATATTGATTTTGTAATATCTTTCAGAAATCACTCATCAAGAGTATGTCCAACTAAAGTTTGTTGTGTCAAAGCACTGGAATTATGGAAGTATTAATATGCTGAAAGTTTTACTAAGACAGTTTGTGTCACAAGTAGGTCAGGCAGAGTTACAGAACGCCAGAGATGTAATGGGTTTACTTAGATTATTGGAGGGAGTAGGTGTGGTCAACCGTTCAAACCCTGCAATCATTTTTGAAGCTGTTAAAATTTGTCACCTTGAGGGGGTAGAATCAGAGATAAAAAAAAATCTGTCCTACATTCGAAAGTTTTACCCTAAAAAATGTGAAAATACGCATATTTTCCCGTTATCGTCAAAAACTTATCAAATTTGGCAAAATATTGAAAACGTCTCCTGTTAAGACGATTGGTGAAATGCACAAAATTGACGTGAGTGTACACAAATGGGATCCGTGGATTTTAATATGTGTACTGGAAGAAGAAAATGTAATCAAACATAATTCAGCGAAGGAATTTGTTGAATTATTAAGGAAGTACAATATGAATGATGAAGCGGATATATTAGGCAGTAAATTATAAGCTGATTGTCCATCACTAAAGTGATATACTTGTGGCGTACTATTTAAAATTTTGAAAACATTTTCTGAAATTAATCAGTTTTATAACAATTTTATGTTGAAACGCAAACAGAATGTAAATAATCATAGCACGTTTTTTTTTTTTAGCATTGTGCTATGTTTAATGTAGTGATACCTGTGTCAGTGATTTTTTGTAGGCCTATGTTGCATTACGTTTTGTAATAATTGTGTGAATATTTTCAATAAAAAACAATTGTTTTTAGTTGATTTGAAACAAGCTTAATAGATAGAGTTAAGAAGGTAAAAAACTAAGCTGTATACGATATCGAATATATGAAACGTGTAGGCTGCCGGCACCTAGCCTCTGACGATTAGTGCCAAAAATTTTTCACAAAAACGTGATGCAATAATGACAAAATTATTATTTTTTATTTTCGCTAAATATTTCATCCGCTCCAAATTGCTTTCCTATTCTTCTTTCTTTCTACGCATCTTCCATATTTTCGTTAAAGTATTTTTTTTAAATTTTCCTTAATAAATATTTAAGCATAATATTTATATAAATATACATTTATATGTATATCATAATTAAGACAGATTTTTTACACATACATTATTAATTATTTTTTGTAAATATAACTCTTAACATTTAAGGGCTAGTCTCTATATACTTGTAACTATAGTTAACATAATACAATCTTTGTTCAATTGAAAGTCGTAGATATGTCCTGCTCTCGACCATTCTAGAGTCACTCTTAGATAGGCTTATCTTCATATGTCTTCTATGAATGGATACTTGGTTCAAAGCAAGAAATCAAGTTGTCTTTACCCAGTACCGTTTGTGTTTTTATCGGCGGGAAATTTTATAACTATGTTAACTATATTTCTCAGTGTGTTAGTATTTTATTCATCAACTAAATATTACAGTATATTTTAGTGACTGTTTTTCAAATAACTATGTTCTCATTTAAGCTCCCTTGCTGTGATGTGAATAAATAAACCTGAATATATTGATTGATTGATCGACTGACTAACTTACTGTCTGTCTGACTGATCGATTGATTGATTTTCTTTAGTTTTTCTCTCTTAAAATTCTTATACAGTATTTGTAATGTTTTATTTATTGGACAGTAGTTTTGACTGAACTTTTTCATAATTGTTTTAGCTGATTTGAAATAGGCCTATAAGATTTGGAAGTTAAAAGTTTAAGCTGTAGCGAAATATATAATATTCGTAACAGTTTGATTTAAACAGAAATTGATTGATTGATTGATTGATTGTATTTTTTATTTTGCTTGATTATAATTTTTAGTAATGGAATTTAATTCTCAATGTGCTAATATTTCATTCATAAACTAAATTGTACAATATTTTAAAGTCAGTGTTTTTCTAATGAATTATCTCTCAATTCTTAGCTGCAAACGAGCAATTTTATGTACATATATTTTTTATGTAAATAAATAAGCCTGAATATATTCATTGATTGATTGATTGGTCAGTTGATTGATTGATTGATTGATTGGGTTATTGAATGATTGATTAATTGCTGACTGACTGACTGATTGTTTGATTAAAATTCTTATATTTTGTACCGTAATCGTTTATTTATTAGACAGTAGTTTAGATTAGACTTTCTTCGTTGCATGGTTGCTGTTTTCATACTGTATATGTATGAAGAATGAAAGAATGTAAATGTTTCTTTAAATCGAATTGACTTGAAATAGAAAAGAATATTATTGAGCCTAACATAGTTACCACAATAATAAAGTATTATTTCTATACCCCTCTGGTTGTACCACACTTTTTTTTGGCTTTAGTGCGTGCTGTGCCATAATATAAATTTTGCAATGTGTCAATTCACTGAAAATTGTTATTGTTATTCGAATATTTTTTTAATATTTCCAAAGGTATATTTTTTTTATTTTGTAGTATAATTTCTCTATGTAATATTTTTGTTTTGAAAGTAATTGTCACTTTGTAAGTATTTTAATTTTAGAGATGAATGTGCATAAATAAAACAAAATCAAAATATAAAAAAAATGAATAAATAAATATAATAGAAGTGTAAAAAAAAATCAAGCAAAACATTTCTATTAAATTAACCGTTTTTGAAAAATCTGGTTTAAACTGTTTGCCCTTAATCACTTTAATTGGTCCTCACATGTACACCCCACCATAGACTGACACCAAATATTAGGAGGCACGTTATGGTCTATGCTTCGGCAAAGCATGGAACAGTTTCAAGCATGGGAAGTGACCAAAGTGCCGACCAGAAAATCCCAGTGCAAAAGAAAAGGGAAAAATTAAGTATGCAAGAAAAAAGAAAACAGGAAAATCAACAAAAACAATGCTTTTTCCAGCTACTGCAGGGATAGGCCTTATGTGTGTATTCATACATAAACAAAGTGAGTAGTTGCATACCATTTTTCCATGAATCAATAAATTCCAAAAAAGAAAGGAGGGTCCGGGGGTTCTCCCCGAGAAAAGTTTGATTCTTAGAAGGCGGGAAATAAGCTTTCCCGACTTCCGAGGTGCCTCTTAATTACTTTTTATTTCTTCAAAATTCATAGTTTTTCCCCTCTTGAAAATGAATCAATGAATTCCAAAGAAAAAGTGGGTCCGGGTTACCTCGGAAAAATTTTCGATTTCTAGAATGCGGGAAATGAGCTTTCCTTACTTCTGAAATGTCTTTTAAATGACTTTTTAGGTTCTTCAAAATTCAAGCTTTTTCTTTAATACGGTCAGGTAAATTTTTTCTCCTGTCTTATTTTTATGTGTGTTTACATATATAAACAAATTAAGTAATTGCATACTATTTTTTCCATTAATCAATAAATCCAAAAAAAAGAAGGAGGGGGGTCCGGGGGTTCTTCCCCGAGAAAATTTTGATTCTTAGAAGACGGGAAATGGGCTTTCCCGACTTTTGAGGTGCCTTTTAATTACCTTTTATTTCTTCAAAATTCAATTTTTGCCGTCTTGAAAATGATTCAATGAATTCCAAAGAAAAAGGGGGTCCGAGTTACTCCGGAAATATTATTTCGATTTCTAAAAAGCGGGAGATGAACTTTCCTGACTTCTGAAATGTCTTTTAAATGACTTTTTAAATTCTTCAAAATTCAAGGTTTTTCCCTCTTGAAAACGGTCAGGTAAATTTTTCTCATGTCTTATTTTATGTGTGCTTACATACATAAATAAATGAGTAGTTGCACGCGTAATATTTTTTCCATAAATCGATAAATCCCCCCAAAAAAAGAGTGGTCCGGTGTTATCCCCCGGGAAAATTTTGATTCCTAGATGGCAGGAAATAAGCTTTCCCGACATTTGAAGTGGGTTTTAATGACTTTTACGTTATTCAGAATTCTAATTTTCTTTTTGTAAAAAAAAAAAAAATATAAAAGAAATCAGCTCACAGGTCCTGAAAAGTTAGGTCTAGAATTCTTGTTTTTTTTTGTTTTTTTTTCTATTTTTGTTGCCTAAGGGAGGGGTCAGGACCCATAACCCCCTCCCCAGATCCGCAAATGTGAATTGCGAGAAAATGTAACTCTGTCGGTGACTGGATAAACTTTCTCAATCCCATCCTTCTCCTCCTTCCCTCTTTCTTTTCTTGCATTTCTTTGCAACCATACAAAAATCTCCAGACTTTATATATTTTTGCTAAAAAGGTAGACCTTTCCACACACACATGAAATTCGATAAATGCATGGCTGGCTCTGTGGCTTTTTGCACAGACTTTGAATTTTGGCTTTTGTATTAGAGTTTTCACACGTTGTCTTAGCTATTGTTTAGTTTTTAACCAATCACGAGCAAGTCTTACCAACCAAAACATATAAGTCTTTCACAGTTTTGGGATTTCTGTAGATATTATTCTCCTGAAGACGATAGAAGCAACTCAATCGAAACGTCGAGATATTCGCAACCAACAAAAACAGTTTTTTTTCAGAACTATCTACGTGGTGTACCGCAAGCATTGATATATAACATTATCTATAAGACGTCATTTAGAAAAAATAATGACATGCTAATCATAACATCCACAACGATTGCCTCCTCCACTTTTCATAAAATTCAACAATATGCGTCGCCGGCCACCTTTCCCCACTAATCTAACATCGTGTGAAGCATGGGTATATGCTGGTTGTACTAAATTCTGGCTGACACAGTCTGTCTCGAAATTGGCCCACTATTGGTTTACACTGCATACTTTTTATGAATGCATTTTCCATGTATTGTCCGGAATATCCGTGCTTTGCCTTAAACAGCGCCACACAGCACCGTGTACATTTTCATAATAATTATAATTTTTTTCTCATAATGTTATCAAGCTACGGCGCGTCCATATTAACAAAGACTCCAAAGCTAAGGTAAGTTTAGGCCACCTACTACACCTAAATCTAATCAATATATATCAAAGATTTAGATTGTAATTAATTTGTACAGGTTTAGAAAAATACTTGTAAAAATATAATCATACTATATAGGCCTATATATAAAATCATGTTAAAGCAGTGTTAGTATCAGGCTTATGATGTAGCTTTGAAGTAAGCTTTACTGCAATGGGTGCGGCACAATAGTGCACAGCGCCTAATCTATATGCTATTCCTACTATTACCGTCACTATAATAAAACTACTAAGCTGCTGACGCTGCCACCACACAAACGCTTATACCGCCAGGGACCAAACCGATGTGGGACATCTACATCTTTTAAACAAATTGTGTATTTTTATTCATGTGGAATGGCCTTCAAAAGCATACAGATTCTGAAATCCAGTTTGCTTTCGAATTTTAGTTTCGTAGACAACTCAAAGTCAGTTAACAAATCTATTGCAATCACAATATCATTGAATCTGTTAACGCCTGGTCTAAGCCAGTTCCTATACATTAAAGAATATCCATTTTACTGAATCACTTTGTTACGCCTGCGAAAACAACCACTCACTGTAAATAGCTATGAACGGCAATACGATTGTTTAAAATAGTGTTTATTTACTTATCCTAGCGTTCTCCTTGCACTGTGAGCTTTGATCCTTCATAAACCTTAGCTGGCCCTAACATCGCGGCGTATTCACGGGTTGAAGACCATCATGCATACATAACCATGCCGTAGATGTGCAGAGGCCTTATACACATCTAGATGTGTATAAGAGACAGCATGGGAAGTGACCAAAGTGCCGACCAGAAAATCCCAGTGCAAAAGAAAAGGGGAAAATTAAGTATGCAAGAAAAAAGAAAACAGGAAAATCAACAAAAACAATGCTTTTTCCAGCTACTGCAGGGAAACGCCAATAATAATAATTTGCAACCTTAAAATTGATTTCATATTTTGCCAATTGAAGAATTATTACATTTAACTTTCACTATTTATTTGCTTATTGATGATCTTGTATTGCTTATTTGTGCAAAATTATCACAAAAGCAAAGTGACGCCAATATTTACCGACGGCAGGGAGGGATGAATTTCCATTGTCTTCAAAAAAAA